TACTACTACTACTACCTCTTCCTCCGGCATAAACGCCTGAGCCTTGGCCGCTAAAGCAGCCTTCTTAGACTGTCGTTTAGCATCCCTCGCCTTCCGAGCCTTCAGCATCATCGAAGGCTCCGCTGCCTCTTCCCCCACATCCTCTGTGTTCTGGACCTACATCAATCCTATCACAGTCGGAGAGCATCCCAAAGGTACTCCTGCCCACCTCCTCAGCATCATCAGCCTCCTCCTCCTCCATAGTAGCCCTTATCTCTCTCATCGACATCCCTTGTCGAACCTCTACATCATCATCACCACCTGCACACCCCTTACGACCAGAGGCAGCCTCCTCCACCTAAGTCGAACCCAATACACGCATCCCAACACCATTCCCAATACTACCTGCTTAGCAGAGTTAAGGATGTCCGCTAGGTTGGCTCTACCATCCACTAGGTCCTTCACCTCAGCCACCTCATCCAAGCTCACCGACCCCACTCCAGCGTACCTACAACACCCTCGCATCCCTCCGATTACACCATGAACCATCAGCCATTACTTACCCCTTGCCACCCTTAACCTCAGCCCGCAGCTTGCCATGCCCCTTCTTCCTAGTCCCTGCCCTAGGCCTCAGCAACGCCACTGCATCCTCCTCATCATCTCTAGCGGCCATCTTCGCCAAAATACCCTCCTCATCAAGACCCGACTCCTCAACAGCCACCGGTTCCTTCCCACGGCTAAGACGCTCCACCAGTTGAGCCTTCGAAACCTTAGCCGGCTCCTCCTCCTCCATCTCCTCTCCTTCCCCTTCCACCTCCTCTTCCTCCCCCTCACTGACCTCGTCCATGGCCTCCAACTGTTCAACACCAAGGCCAGCTAGGATATCGTCCAGATAAGCCATCTCAGGATCAGGTCCAGCCGTCGTCTGCGAGCGACTGATCAGTTCCTCGACCTGCTCCCCAATGCCTTTCTCTATAGGCTTCAGCCGCTCGATCATTCCCTTAACCCAAGCAATTTTACCAATAACCGGATGCTTCCTCACGCTAGCTCCTCTACTCTTTAACATGAAGTAGTAGCTCAAGTAGCTCAAGTACGACAACAGTAATTGGACCTTCGTCTCGACGAAGGTCATCCCACCCTTGCCGCCGGGTGGTGGGCATTTCCGGACAGCCTCCAGCAGATCTCTAGCCTCGTCCCCAAGACTAATAGCACCCTCACGATACTGGGCCAGCAGTGCCTCGAGCTCCGGGCTCTCCTTAATGGCCAGCCTTCGTCGCTCGCTACGGGATAAGGCCTCCTTGGGCTTTTTCGAATCAGTAGTGTCCCCTTTGAA